ACAGAGAGTTGCTTGTGTTGGTTTATTGTTGTCATTACGTTATTGTAAATGTTTTAGTAATATTAAAATAGTTTATGAAGGGTTTCCAGGTTTCTGTGAGGGTCTGTAATTCTCCATCATGATGAGCAGTAAAGAGTGAAGATGAAATTTGCTGAGAGAGAGAGTTAGTCCAGTGGTTGGTATTTATGGAGTTTTTAGATAGCCAGTTTTGTAGGATTGTTTTCTTGGCGATAGTCAGAGAAACAGGCTGTTCTTGTGTTTTGGTGGGATTTGAAGTGTTGTGGTCAGGCCAAGTATGCAGAGCGTTGGGAGGGGGGTACACTGCAGCCCAGGAGGTCCGAGAGTTTGTGGGTTACAGTTTTCCAGAATGTCTGTACAGGGGTGCATTCCCAGAGTGCATGCAGGTGTGTGTCAGTGACTCCCAGGGTGCATAGTGTGCAAATGGCTGTGTTTAAGAATCCCATTTTATATTTTTTTATAATGTGTAATGTGTGTTCTGTGAATAATTTTATACTGAATTAGTTGTAGATTAGTAATGGGTGTCATGGAGAAGGTATTGTTGCATATTTCTGTCCAGTTTTCTTGTGTGAGAGATGTGTTCATGTCCGAATTCCATTTGATCTGTGGTGTATGTATTGTCTCCTCAGTCTTTATGAATTTGTATAATTTTGAGGTTAGTTTCTTAAGGGATTGGATTTTCTTTATGTTTTCTCTAAGGCGCCAGAGTTTTTTCAAGAAAATATACAATTTTGATTTCAAGATTTCAAAAGGCTATAACTTTAAAATGGTTTGAGATAAAGGCATACTGTAAATTAGAAATATCTTCAGTTTGAACCAAACTTTGGGATGGAAGTTGATTCGTCATCTAATTTGCATATGGTGACGTCATCAAGGTGGCGGCCATTTTGGAAAATGTTAATTATTGTATAAAGACTTCAAAAAGCTGTAGCTTGGGAGTTATTTGAGATCAGGGAATACTATAAACAGTCAATGTGAAATATCTTTAGTATGAAATGAATTTGGGATAGAAATAAATTCCCTGATCCAGATTATACATAATGTTTTAGCACTGGTTCGCGGCCATATGGAATTGTATAATTTTCAAAGACCTTCAGTGATCAAGACAGCACTCTTTATAGTTTACAATCATGAAATCTTGAGATTGGTTTCAATATTTCCCTTTCAGAGAAGTAGTGGGCTTACTATTTTTCTCAGTGGAAATGAGGCTCCAGGATTTACCGTTTAGAAACAGAGAGATGAAATGAATGGGCTCAGAACTTGTCAGATCGTCTCAACAAGAAATAACAGGCTCTTCAACACTTCTGGTCCACTTTTGTGGATTATTTTCTCTCAAGAACTGCCTTTATCCTCATCATCGCTGAGGCAGTGAACGCGATTAGCGATGTGTCTTTTTCCCGCGGCTCTCCCGCAACTTCTCCCGCGTCTCCCGTGTTCCCCGTGGATGTCTACCCCCGCTACTTTCTCCCACATGCCTGGTGTTATGATGCCCCTGTCCCCTCCACCACGGATCCTGCTTGGCGTTCACAGAATGCTTCTACCGCGGCCACACGGAGGACAAGCAGCCGCTGTACAGGGGCTGATTGTGGACTCTATGGCGCGGTCTCCCCGTCACCAATAATGTCCGTGTCTGCTTCACTGGACACCTGCGTGTCTTCCTCCTCTGATTCTGAGTGAGCCAGTACCAGACCAAGTACTTCTCTGGTACTGAAGACCTCGTGAGTAAAATAAAAAACACTCTCTCCCTCTGCTCTGCTCTCGCTCCTCTCAGTACTACCGCTGCTGCTTCGCCTCCGCGCTGCTGCGCCGCAGGTGTTTTACGAACTCAATTTACTCAAAAACTTTCAATATAACCACACCCACAAATGTTGCTCATATTACAGGCACACATGTCCACTAACCCCTGGTGAAAAGTATGAACAAGATTCTGCACCACATTTTTACATACAGCCCGTTTAAGTGAGCAATGTTGCTTGTCGCAATATTGCGACTTTGGCGCTTAAAGGGTTAAAGGGTTGTTTATTATATTAATTTTACTTTTTATTATAGACTTCATTTTTAAGTATTGGAAGCTATTGTCACTGCATGAAAAGTGTGATTTTCGTCTCTTTTCGGCCCTGTATATTACTGTGAAACTTCTGGGATTCGGCTGTTCACGGTAGTTTGTTGTTCCCTCCTCCCTCCTCCATAGGAGGCTTTAACATGTAAATGGGAATGCTGTGAGCTATACAAATGCAAATCAGGGTTAAGGGGGTGCACAACTTGATCCATGCTGCACAACTATTTTCAGTCAGTCTGCAGCATGGATCAGGTCAGCACACTGTAGACCCGGATTTTGTAAATGCTCAAACTGTTTAGAATAGAATAGAATAGAATAGATCTTTATTGTCTGTTCAAATTGAGCAGAGATTTGTCTTTCAACACGGCACGATTCATGATCATTCATAAAAAAAATACATTTCATAATTTATACAGTGCTACCGGTTGTTTAGAGCGGTGACTGCAGATGGGACAAATGATCTCTTGTAGATGTTTTTTCGGGCCAGCGGGGTTCTGTATCTCCTTCCTGATGGCAGCAGAGAGAAGGAGCCAAACAGCGGGTGTGAGGCATCCTCAGTGATGAGAGTGGCCTTCCTCAGCACTGATTGGCTGTACAGCTTACAGAGCAGAGTTTGTGGTGTTTGGGTGATTTTGCTGGCCTGCTTTACTACACTTTTGAGTTTTGTCCTGTGTTTGAGAGTGAGAAAATTGAACCAGGTGGAGATATTGTACGTGAGAATGGATTCAATGAGTGAGGTATACATAGTTGATAAAATGCCTTTGCTAACATTAAAAGATCTCAGTTTCCTGATGAGATGGAGGCATTGCTGTGACTTTTTAAAAACAGAGTCTGCATGGTGCCCAAAGGACAAGCTGCTGTCTATTTCTGTCCCAAGGTATTTAAAACAGTCCACCTGCTCCACCTGCTCGCCATGGATGACTAGGGGTTGAAAAAGATCCACAGAGTCTGTTTTCCTAGTGGCTCCACAGCACAACTCCTTGGTTTTGGAGATGTTGAGCTCTAGGGAGTTCTGAGCAAATCCACAAACCAGCGTGTGGACCTCCTGCTGATAGTGTACTAGGGCCTGTGCATCCGTGAGGTGTGCCACCAGTGCTATGTCATCTGCGTACTTTATAAGGGTCAGTCCTTCTGTGCTACAGCAGATGTTATTAGTGTACACAGAGAAAAGCACAGGTGACAGCACACAGCCCTGGGGGAGTCCAGTCCTCAAAATTATTTGGCTGGACTTGACACCATCTATCAGCACATGCTGTGGCCTGTCCCGTAAAAACTCCCTGATCCATATAATCAGTGATGTGTGAATGTGGAGTGATGAAAGACATTGAAGCAGGGTGTTATTGTTTACCGTACTAAATGCAGATGAAAAATCCATGAATAGGATTCTCGTGTGAGGATATGCAGAGTCCTGTTGCCTTGTAATCCTGTCCAAGAGCATGATGGTTGCATCCTCCGTGCCTCGCTTAGCTCTGTACGCAAACTGGAGTGGGTCCAGTTTGTCGGACAGTTCAGATGTCAGCTGGTCAGCCACCACCCTCTCCATGCACTTGCATAAGATTGAGGTCAGGGCTATAGGCCTGTAGTCCTGCAGGTTACTGGGCCTGGCCTTTTTGGGAAGGGGAATGATGGTCGATTCCTTCCACTGTCTGGGGACTGTGCCGGTGTTCAAGAGAAGCTGAAACAGCCTGGTGAATACTCCACTGAGCTGGGTGGCGCACTCTTTGAGCACCCTGCCATTGAGTCCGTCCGGGCCTGCAGCTTTGTTAGGGTTTATTCTATGCAGAATGGTGGTCCCCACCCGTTCATCAATGATGATATTGTCCGGGCTGTGGGTGTCTGGGCTCCAGATGGGTGTTGCACTGGTGTTATTAAAACGAGTGAAGAGGATATTGAGTTGTTGAGGATCTGGGCAGTCAGCTTTTCCTGGTTTGGATGTTCTGCCCATCATGGTATTCAGGCCCTGCCATGCCTCCCGCACGTTTCCAGATGTCAATTTCCTCTCCACTTTGTCTTTGTACCTCATTTTTCCCTAAGTTGCCAGCTTCTTGAATTGCTTCTGTAGCTCTCTCACCCTGTGTTTGTCCCCTTGAAGAAAAGCTCTTTTCTTCTCCCTTAGACAATTTTTCATGCCCTTGGTAACCCATTTGTTCTTATTAGGGTAGATGGTTATTTGCACAGTTTGGGTGACAACTTCATCACAAAACATGGTATATGAGGCAAGGACATCCATCCATCCATCCATTTTCTTCCCCTTAATCCATTTCTGGGTCAGGGGGGTGGCAGTCAGAGCTGCACCCAGTACACTTAGCACCAGCCCCTCACTAATCCTCCTGCAGGTGGTGAGTCCACAGGAGCTGAGATCTTTCAGTTGGGGCTTTGGGCAAAGTAGGGTTAAGTGTCTTGCCCAAGGACACAACGACAGCAGTCATCAGTGGGAGTCGTGAAGTAGGTCTTACGGTGGGCTCGAACCCACGACCTTCAGGCCCAAAGGCCAATGCTCTACCAACTGAGCTACTGTCGCCCACTAGGACATCAGAAAGCATATTAAGATCACCCCCACAGTCATCGAAAAACAGGTCCCAATTTGTCAGCTCAAAACAGCCCCTTAGGGTCTCAGCTATTTCCTCGTTCCTGACCCTAATACTTTTCGTGACAGACCCCTCAGTTTTTAACCGTGACCTGTACTTTGGTAACAGTAGGATCACACTATGATCTGATAGTCCAAGCGGTGGGCGTGGCTTTGAGACATACGCACCGGAAATATTACCAAAACACAAGTCTAGTGTTCTCTGCCCCCTTGTCACTGTAGTCACATATTGTTCAAGACTAGGAAGGTGCATTGAGATGTTGCACCTGTTAAAATCCCCCAGTATGAATACTGGCTGTTCCCCTGTTTGAGTGACAGCATCGTTGTAGCTCTCCACTATGCGCTCTGCAGCTTGGTTGAAGTCTGGACCAGGAACATACACCAGCATAATTGTTATTTGTTTAAATTCTCTGGGCAAATAATGGGGTCTAAATGATACAGTCAGCAGTTCATAATGCTTGTTGCACTCTGTCTCTCTCACTGTGTAGTTGGTGGCCCACCGTTTGTTTACAGCCATGCAGACCCCGCCCCCAATTGCCTTCCGTGTTTTGACAGCGTCTCTATCAAACCGAATGATGTTGTATCCTTCTAGCTCAAAGTCCACGTCTCTAGTGAGCCAGGTCTCCGTGAAGCAGAAGAGACTGGTTCGTTGGTAATCCAGATCCGACTTTATTAGCGCTGAAAGTTCGTCTGTTTTATTCCGGAGCGTTCGCACATTTGACAATGTGATGGCTGGTAGCGGCAGCCGGCTCCCCCTTCTCCTTAACCTGTTGCGTATCCCACCTCTGGAACCCCTTTTCCTTCTTATCCGCTTTTGCCTTTGCCCGCGATGTAACTCTGGGGGTAGGTCGTGAAGGAATCTTTCCTCTGGCGTTGGTGCTGCGTCGCGGAGTTCCAAGAGGAGGTCCCGTGAGTAGGTGAGCTTTCCCATGTTGACAGACGACATCTGCAGACAATGACCATTTGCGGGCCACAGAGCCGCGATCAGAAGCCAAATTATGGCCAAGTGAAGCACTGTTGTTTCCCCCGACATGTCAGGAAGCCAAATTGATAAAAAGTCTCCAGTGGTGCCATAAAAACATTCAAAATACACACTCTACCACGCCGTGTTAGGAGTCGCCTTCCTCACGGAACAGCGCCCCCCCTATTTGTGTTACACACACACACACATCAGATAAATATTTGATCATGATTGATTATAGCTTGTCATGTCAAAATCAATTAAATAAATCCAATAGGACAAAAGACATGTTGAAAGTGTAAGTGCTCATCAAAGGATATATGTATGTACAGACCATGGATTGTTTTATTTTTTTTCATGACTATGAACATTGTAGATTCACACTGAAGGCATCAAAACTGAATTAACTCATCTGGAATTATGTACATACCTAAAAGAAAAAGTATGAACCAACTCAAAACATGTGTTATATTCTCGGTTCAAAGTAGCACTATATATATATATATATATATATATATATATATATATATATATATATATATATATATATATATACATACACATATATATATATATATATATATATATATATATACACACACACAAACGGCTGTTGGTGTTAACATCACTCTCTTTACGCAACCAAAACTTGGGGACTTCACAAACTGAATGCGCATGTCGCGCATGCGCAAAACACAAGGAAATACTTTGCCTGAAGTCGACGGTGGAGTGTCGTGGAACGTGAAGAGAGGACTCTTGAATGTACGGTAAGTGTTAAGACACGTTGTTCATTTGTATAAAGGTATATAGCTAAAGAAGTGTGTTAAGAACGTGTACACATTCGACTATATTATCTTATAAAACTCGTGTGTTCGACCAGCTCAGCTGTGAATGCAGTGACTGGCCGTGTTCAGAGCTGGTCTCCCGGAGGCCTGAGAGCCGCTCTCTCGGCCTCCGGGAGTTTACTGAGGACAGCGGTGAATGTAGCTGTTAGTAGCTAACTGTAGCCGTGTTCAGAGCCCTATTCCCGGCCCTAACTACGCGGGCCGCCGCCACAAGGAGGCTCCGCTGTGATTGCTCCGTGTGTGATAACTTTCTGTGAAGCATGGAGCTGCAGGAGCATGGACGAGGCGCTCAGAGCAGACTGCTTCGAAAGAACCGAAGGAAGAGCAGTTTGGGCTCATGGCAGAGCCTGATATACGCTGAGACTGTGGACTAGAGTTCTGTGGAATATCTAACATATATCATTTGTTTTGCACTGTTCCTGTCTTTGTTTGAGCGCTAAGACTTTCACTTTTATTATTGTACTTTTTCATCTCATTTGTCACTTTTGTCTTTCTGTTCATTTTTTTGTTTTGTTTATTAAGTCCATTGCTTGATAATGTTATTGAGTGAATCTAGACCTCTTTTAAACACATTTGAGCAAAAATCATGTGGTATTGTTTTATATATATTGATAATTCTTTTTTTGCTTACAGTGTGTCGCAGTCCGACAACAAGAAATTGTCGATCCTGCCCTACCTGTGGAAGATGTCAAAGCGCGCTGGCCAGCACTTTATACAGAGAGACAGGTGTGTACACATTTTTTACAACTATGCATTTAACTTGAAGTGTTTTATGGTTTTTTTTGCAGGTCCTGGCAGAATTTAACCAGATCAGCAGCTCCAAACTGGACAATGATTTTGTTGAAGCATTGGATTGCCTAACGACACAGTTCATCAAGCTCTTTAAGGCCAAAAGGGGGACTGCTGGCGCTAAGCTTTCCAAGATTGTCCGGCACCTCGATTCCTGTGTAAGTTCATAAAGAAATAACAAAAAGAAATGACGTATGATTGTGTTTGGTGTTGTAATGCACATATGCACAGCAGAGGAGATGGGGAAAAGGAGAAAGGTAAGTACATCCCCCTCCATTTGTCTTGTCTGTCAGTACAGTATTTTACTCCTATGTACAATTATGAAAGAGACACAACAAGCAGTGACACTTGTAGGTGATAACTTACTCAGTACTGCTTTAACAACCTTAACCTCCTCCTGAAAAAAACATTCAAATAATACAGGGAAAAAAAACAGGACAAGAAAGAAAGTGACAAAAATTAAACTAAAACTTGAAGCTGCTATATCTGCTGTAACCTTTTGGCTAAAGCTAAACTGGGGAAATACACTTCGTTAAGGCGGGTTTATTCTGTCCAGTGTGAATGACACGTAATATATTAAAGGACCGTGACGTCACTCGGTCACAACACACTTGAAGGTAACTCTACATTTCTCAATATAATGAGTTAACTAGAGTTTGTGAATAAAATGGCACTAGCTGTGGGGGAAAAAAAACCTTAAAGTCCACTCTCAGCCCAAAAAGTCAAACAAGGACTCACAGGGCTCTTAAGTCTGCAAAACAATCATAAAAAATGGCCTGTTGCGTGTTTTATTTGTTCACATTTTACTTTTGTGCACAAATAACATGCATTGTTAATGCATGGAGGAAAAATGTGGGTATCTGAGCTTTAAATTCAGGAGTTTTGCTTCAGGAGGAGACACGGGAGAGACACATTTATTTCACATTCAAAATCATGAAATTGACAAAGTATTATAAGTAATGCATCATATTTAGATGTTTTATTTTTTTACAGATCTTTCTCAAATGGAAATGGACACCATCACTTTCAATTGACCTCAACCCATAGTCTCCTCCTAAAGGTGAATCCTCTGTGGCAGTTACAAGGAGATCCAATCAGGACATGTGTGAGAAGGACACAGCAAAAGAGGTACTGCTGCATTTTGTATCATAAGATTTTTGGTTCAATTGTAGATTGTCATTATACATTTTCCACGTGTTTGTAGATGGTGGAACTGCAGGAAAACCCTGGTGACCGAGAGATCCTTAAAGATTATAATTCTGTGAGATCACTAAGTCACCGCTCTCGAAGACAACTTGTCGACCTTCTTGTCAGTGACATGAGTGAAACACATGGGTATGTTGTATTACTCGAGAACAGACAGAAAAACAAAGGAATCCCACACTCAAAGAAATGATTCAGGTGGTTAGTATTTTGAACTCAAAATACATACTAAACTAAACTCAATAATTGATTTTTGCCAGTTTTACTTAAATTAGTGTGGTCGCAACTCATTTTAAACATGCCTGTCTCAATTAAAAGTTAATACAAGAATCCTAACTCATTTTTGTAACAAATTTGAACTTGATATTCTGGCATAACTGGACAACGGAGAAGTATTGAGTTTGCTCAACATGAAAATCCTCTTGTAAGCCTGGTGGCCCATTAATGAAAAAACAAATATATTGAGTTGATTCAAAATAAATATATTGTATTGATTGAAAACAAAATGTGGCGAAGCAGTGACGCTACCCAGAATGCATTGCAGCGAAAAATATAAACTTCTCAAAAATTCTACATTTGAGCATTAATTTTAAAACTGAAAATGAAGCAAGTCCTAAAGCAAAATACTTGAGCAACATTCTGAATAAACTAATTTGACCAAATAAGTAATTGTATTTATTTTTATCAACCATGATCGAGAGGGCCAAGCCAAAGCAGTCCTATACTCCCTGTGTCACCCTTCAATATTGAACAAATACTTTAAGGTGGACATGTTTACCGGTGACTGTGCTGGCCCACTCTCATATATATGTGGAGTGAGAGACTACTGCCTAAAATTAACAGTTGTGAACCGTTTTGTGAATCTAATCTTTGAAAGATGGTATTTGAATAAAGATTACATATTCCTGACTGAAAATCACTTGTTGAATATACTCAAAAAGATTTATTTTCAATGTAATTATTTAAGTTGGTAGTATTGTTAAAATTGAGTTGAACTGATGCTAAAACACTTGCTGAATATACTTAACAAAGTGTCTCTATAACTCAATTATCCAAGTTGGTGGTATTGAAAAAATTGTGCTGGACCAATGATAAAAGACTTACAAAGAATACTTAAAACACAGTCTTGTTCGCAAAACTTAAAAAGATGCATGCAAAATGCTGCCTCAATTTTATTAAGTTTTGCCAATGCATTTTTTTTTAGAGTGCACACATAGTTCCCTCCCTGTTCCTCAGTGTGAACATGCCTCTCCATTGCCCCATATAGCAATGCACAAACAATAGAAGACGACACATTTTAATACTTTTAAGAATTAGAGTCCTCTGGCCCACCACATGCGCGCGCCCTGCGCTATATATGGTGCGACCAGGAAGTGCCTCGGTTTGGCCAGTGGACCGAGACACGCAGCAGGTGAGTTGTGTATGGGGGAAGATGAGATGTGTGTGTAGGCAGCAAGTGTGCACCCTTGTGCGCTACGGGGATAGTATTGGCAGGGGAAGAGTTTGTGTTGATGCAGGGCCGTGCGATGACTAGCGCGGACCTGCCGGCAAGCCGCGCCACACGCACGCTCAGACGCGCTCCTCTCTTTAGCGCAGGGAGAGAGCAGCACACAGCTGTTGACGGAGCAGTCACTGGCGCTCCGTCACACCCTCAGTTATTACTCAAAAGTTCCTTCTTACAAGTGGAAGGATATTTACTCAAAATAAAATGAAAATCACTTGAAAGACCTTTCACAATAATCACGTAACAATTCAGTTTCTCTCAGCACTGTTATTGATTCCCCATTGTAAGATAAATAGTACTTATCTCTTTTATAAATGACCTAGGTAGATGTTCTGTAGATTATCTCTTGGTTAGGTCCCCGTGAAAATATGTACTTGTAGATACTATTAATTTAGCCTTTTTATGTAACCATGAAGTCCCTTGACCATGAGTGTTTTTCTTTTCTTAGACAAATGCCTTCCCGAAAACAAAAAGCAAGCTATGCTCTTAGAATTATCACACTTTTTTCTTCATTGAAGGATCTATTTTCTCAAAAAGGTTATGTAAGTATTGTTAATGCATCCATGGAAATTGAATTTGGTTTATCTCCACATGTTTTGTGTAAGTAATGGATATGTATAGATACCAATCATAACTGTACACTTGTTTTCAGACTAATCTAGCCTCTTAATGAGATGGTGACCTCCTATTATATCTGCAAGTCCACATTTCCACGATGTTGATAAAGACGACATTGTGTGTAAGTGACTTGTTTTACTGTTTCTCCTTCCTTGTTTGACATTACTGTGACTTGCGCTTGATTTTTATTCATACCACTCATTTGATTGTTTTCTAGCAGCCTGTAAGACTTATTATGAGACGGTTCGCAGGAGCCATCAGTATGCCAAGCCAGAAAACTCATTGAGGGCGGACGTTGCGAACAGTTCAGCTCCGAGTCGAGTGAGAAGAGGGTAAGAATACAGTGCATCGCACAGTAAGGCAAGGGAGGTTTATTTGTGTAGCACAATTCATACACAAGGCCACTCAAAGTGCTGAGCAAAATAAGAAAGCATTAAAATAAATAATCACAGAACATTAACAAATATAAATATAAAATCCCTCAGTTGTAGCACAGCTAAAGTGAGAGCTCCTCTCTGACAAGTTTTAAAACCAGGTTAAAAACAGTTTGGTTTAGCTGTGCTACAACTGAGGTATTTTATATTAATCTTTTTTAATGTACTGTGATTATTTATTTTAATGCTTTCTTATTTTGCTCAGCACTTTGAGTGGCCTTGTGTATGAATTGTGCTAGACAAATAAACTTGCCTTGCCATCGTACTTCCTGGTTCTGGTCAGGACTTGAGGTGCTGCATTTTGAATGTACTGCAGCTGTTGTTGCAGTAGTCTAACCTACTGGAGACAAAAGCATGGATAAGAATCTCCAGGTCTGCTTTAGACACTATGTTTTTGATCCTGGCAATGTTTAGATGGGAAAAAGGATTTGATTTGGCTAATAATATTCACTGATTCTTTCAGCTGGTGGAATCGAGACTGAGTGTGCTAGAAAGTGACAAAGTGGAACTCTGGAAGTGTGCCACGGTAGACCTAATGTCCAATGAAGAAGAAGGCGTTGTGGACGGTGTCTCTGGGTGGATTGTGCGGTCGCCGTCTTTTCGAAAGCCGGAGTTTTCTGAACTCTGTGTCAAGCGGCAGTCCCGGATAGAGGCGGCACGGAAGTACAGAGCCACGCACATTAAGCGTCTATCTAGAACGCTGCCAAATTACAACCCCCGAGGAGGCGATTGGACAGTTCAGAGTTGTAATTTTTTAATTACCTATGTGTGAGCATAAAGCTGTGTGTGTTTGTGTTTTAATAAATCTTTCTTTGTATGAACATATTCCTGGAAAATTTTCATTTCCTCTTTAAATAATGAATACATATATATTTATATAAATATTATCACATTAATTATGAGGCAGGGTGACCAATAGTGACAGATCTGCCAGCCAATCACAAGAGATTATACTTATTTGAAAGTAGTGATTTCATCCAATGGGGAGTAAGCTACCAATGGGGAGTAATCCCACGTGGGCTGGCCACGTGTGATTTTTCAGCCTATCACGAGTTTGAAAGTAGTGGTATCCGCCAATGCTGAATAGTGTTCTGAAGCAGCCTGGCCAGCCGCAGCATTCATATGCTAATTAGGGCCATTAGCGCTCGGCCAGCCGCAGTGTTTCGCTGCATTCATATGCAAAGTATGGACATTAGCATGGTACGGATGCGGCAGTTTGGAGGACAGGGCACCCTAACTGCGCGTTTTGAAAACTGCCTGAGATACCCGAAAAAGAGCGTGATTTCCTGCCGTTTAGGGTGACGAAAATCTAACTTTTCATGCAGTGTGTTGTTGTGCAGTTTGTATTTTTCGGAGAGTTCTCTGTATGTCATACATTTACCGTTATTGAAAAGATGATGCAAGTGAGTAATTCCGTTCTGTTCTCAAGATTGAAAGTGAATAGGTGTATTGCTAGTTTTGAAGTCAGGATTGTGCCAGAGGGGTGTGTATTTACAGGGTGTAGTGGGTGAGTTGTTTAATTTCAAAGTTTTCCACCAGGCTGTCAGAGTGTTGGAGATGGTTAAGTTCTTAAATGAGTCGCGTTTCTTTAGGCTGGTACTTATGGCTGGGGTGTCTTCAAAGGGTAGTTTTTTGAAATATGATTGTTCTATTTGAATCCATGGGTTATTGGGTGATGGTTTTGTCCATTTTACCAAGTATTGTAGCTGGTTTGCCAGATAGTAGTGTAAGAAATTTGGTGCATCCAAGCCGCAAAAAGAAAGAGTGTATGGTTTTGAGGGTTTCCTGTAGTGATTGTTGGGGAGATTGTAGATAAAGCAAGATGTCGTCTGCGTATAAACTTATTTTATGTTCTGTGTCAAAACAATGCCATGAATGGTATTGTTTTGTCGTATTGCGGCTGCGAGGGGTTCTATGAAAAGGGCAAAAAGAGAGGGAGAGAGTGGACATCCTTGCCGTGTACCCCTGTGTAGAGTGAAGGTGGGTGATGATTAGTAGTGACTGTGGCAGTGGGTAAGTAAGTAAGTAAGTAATCTTTATTTATATACCGCCTTTTCACTGCAGATCTGAGTCTCAAAGCGGTTTACAATTGTTAATTTTTGGGCATTTGTCTCTCACTCCACACAGAGATGGGAGCGGGGTTGCCGAGTGAGCCGGTGAGGTGTAAAGTGTCTTGATCCAATGAATGAATGACTCCCCGAAGCCAAATTGGTAGAGTGTGTGAAAAAGGAAAGTCCAGTTTACTTTATCAAAAGCCTTTTCTGCATCTAGGGATGCAATAATGCTATTTATGTTTTCTTGTTGTGATGTATGGATTAGGTTGAAAAGTCTGCGAAGATTATCTGAAGAGTTGCGGTTCTTAATAAATCCAGGTTGGTCAGGGTGGATCAGTAGTGGAGTGACTTGGTCTAAACTGGATGCGAGTGCTTTTGTGATGATTTTTAAATCTGTATTGAGTAGTGAGAGAGGT